TAATCGGGTTAGGGTTAGTCGGGTTGCGGGTCAAGCGGGTTGCGGGTTAAGTGGGTTGCGGGTCAAGCGGGTTGCGGGTCAATCGGGTTCTGGTCAAGCGGGTTGCGAGTCAATCGAGTTGCGGGTTAATCAAGTTACGGGTCAATTGGGTTGCGGGTCGGACGGGTTGCGGGTCTTTAACTTTTAGTCAAATCGGATTGCGGGCGGGTTACGGATCGGGTTGGTTGGTCGGGTTACTCGGGTCGGGTCATGTTTTGACACCTATACCTGTGACCAAGCCCTTCCTTTTTGACCCATCCGACCTAATAAATATCCCAATTATAATTAAATTAACCCAACTCTTCATCTTCCCAAACCCTATACATCTTCCCACCCTTCGCTGGTCACCTCATGTCAAGAAACCCTGGGGAAACTGAAAATCCCCGAGGTTTAGAAATAGGAGCAAGGGAGCCTTCTCCCCTCAGTTCCAGTCCTAAGCTCGGCTCCAGCTTTCTCTGTAGGACAACAACTTACCAACCACCGCAATTTCTCTAAGTCTCCCATCGACGACATCTCTGCTCCGTCCGTGCATCGAAGGCTATCGAGTGGTGGCCCAGACCCTAGTCATTAGGTTGGGAGCGCCTTTGCGGATTTGTAGATCCCTTCAACTCCTCTTTTTTGCCGACAAAACCCACCTCTGACTCGTTCACCATTGTCGACTCCTTGGGTTCATACCCATCGTCATCATTGTTGCCAACTTCTCTTCCCTCAACTCTTCCATAGGAACCGGTGGTACTCTTTTATATATATATATATATATATATGGTGCCTTCTACGGTACCCCGGGTGAAATCCGGGGTACCGCATACCTTGAGTATGAAAACGCTATCTAGACCTCGAATTAGCAGGATTTTTGGGCATGATACTATACCCTAACCCTTAATGAGTGAACCCTAGGTCCTAATTATCTAAATCATAAACTATAAACCCTAAGATGGTGTATTACTTTTTCCCCCTACATATGGACGAATCATAACCGTCGATTATTGTTTCTAATTAAATTGATCTTGGGGTATAAGATTTAGAGAATTAAGACCTAGATTTTGATCTTTATGGGTTAGTGTATAGTATAATGTCCGAAAAATCAGTCAATTCAAGTTCTAGATAGCGTTTTCTTACTTAACGTATGTGGTACCCTGGATTTCACCCGGGGTACCATAGAACTCCCCACATATATATATATATATATATATATATGGTTCATATATTTGTTTTGGGTGATTTTCTAATATATTTCAATTCAATTTCCTCAGTTGCTTGGATTCATGGATAGATGGTTCTTGTTGCCAAATTGCATTGCTTACATGTTCAATTCAATTTCCTAGCTCTATATTGTCTTGATTGGTCTCTCTATATTGTTCCTCCTTGGTTGTGTCTTTCTCTGTATTTGGTTGGATGGATGCAAGGTCTACAAATTCAGTTATACCTTTCCCATCTGTACTTCTGATTCGGGACTAATTGCACACATTTTACTCTCGTTTCCCTTGGGCGTTTGTAGCATTTGGACTCCTAAAAGGGTGATTTTACGCTAGGTTTTGTGCTTTTTAGTGTGTTTCAGGATCCAACAGGTGAAACCAGCCACGGAGTTGTAAGTTGGACGAAAAGAGGCAAAGACCGGGCAAAGAGGGTGATACAGGCGTAGTTCACGGTTTTCCATGGGAGTTCACGATCCACTTTGTCCGTGAACTGAAGCCCAAAACCGTGAACCGTCCGTGATGCGTCCAGGGAGAATTTTGCGGTTACTACCGCGGGACGAGTTCACGGTCTTGAGGACAAATCGTGAAGTCCTGATGGCGAAGCGGTGCGTTTCGACATCGCGCTCTATGTTCACGGATGCGTTGAAGAGTTCACGACCGTGAACTGAGCCCGATCCTGGTATATAATGTGAGCTGAAAGGAAGAGAGAGGGGGAGCACAAGTGTGAGAAAGTGTCTTCTTCTTTAGATTTTAGAGAGAGAATGGACGAGCCAAGAAAGAAACAAGGCTAGGGTTTTCTCTACGTGGTGGATTGGGAAGATTCTCCTCAAGAGAAGATCAACACAAGCTCAAAGGATATTGGAGGCATCACCATGATGGTTTCTACATCTTCCTCTTGTGTTCTTCCCCTTCCTAGCATGGAGTAGTACTCTCTTTTCACTTGGGTGTTGTGAAACCCTAACTATATGCCATGTAGTTGTTGTGTGAATTGAATGATTGTTTATGGGTGTTGTTTAATTCAATGATTGATGTATTTTTCATGTTGATTGTGCATGTTTGTGCTTAGCAATCCAATTGGTCATTCTAACCTAGATGAGAAGGAAAACCCCCTTTCAAGGGAGGCTCAATTGAGTTGGGATTCCTTGGGCTTTTTAAGCCACCTATCTAGGTTAATGTAGGGCAAACCTCTATGTTGAATTGAGCAATTTGTTTAAGCACGATTAAGCCGACCAACCACTGGGTTGAGTGAGAGAGTAAGTCAACCATCGATTGCCTTAACCAAGAGGGCTACTTGAGTAGCCTATAATGTATCCCTTGGTTTGCCAAACGAGAGTGTGGTCTACGACCATAGTTGCGTTTCCTGGCGGTTCGCGGTCACCTTTCCCGTAAAATTAATTCAATTCCTCGTGCCATGGTAGTAGTTAGGGGGGAAACGACATCCGAATGATCCTTCTCACAAAGAGCTTTCAAAGCCGTTTACTTTTGCCTTGCTTCACTTTAATTAGCAATATTTTCAACCAAAACCGATTCGCTATATAATGTTTCAAACAATTGAAGTAGGGGTACACGGACCGACCCGAGTCGATATTTAAATATACTTGCCATGTATTGCACCCTACTAAGGTTGATACTTGGACCTTAGGCAGGAATTAATTGTGATATTCGGGACAAGTCAACATCATTATCAGAACCAGCACTGCGGGCTTATGTTTCCCTCTTTAAATTTTTGGTGCTACCAGAAACCATCCGATTAATATGGACAGTTGGGCCGACTCAGCATGGTGGTGAGATGAGGAGCTCTTGGATGAAGATGTGTGGCAATAACGATGAGGAATCGACTGCGTTGTCATTAGGTTGCAGCCAATGCAATCAAAATCGAGATTTTATGTAAAATTGAAAACTAAAGTAAAGTCGAAATTGTAGATCAAAATTGTAAGATTTTAAAGTTCAAATTAAATGAGCATTTAAAACTCCATAGATTAATAACAACGCATATCCTGCATAACAATCCACCACATATAACTTAATTATTTACCAAGATAAGTTTGTTTGTTAAATAAATCCATATATTTATTCTTGTACATAACATAAACACACAAATAAACAACCTGAAACCTCATAGGAGTTACTTAATCTAGTTAATAGCTAAAATTAGTAAATCACATAAGATCGTTAGGATCAACATTAACTTCCATTACACATCATCATCCTCACCCTCACTCACATCCTCATAGAATCCTCGTCTATTTGTTTGAGTAATAATATTAATATCATTATTCTCGGGATCACTTGAACTACTTTCACTATTGAACATATTTCCTTAATAACCATCATTTGAAAAAGGTGACTCATTGATTGATGCATTCCCTTTTTGATCGATAAAATGTCGGGGATTGTGGTGCTGAAGGTTTCAGATATGAACGAAAGCTTGCAAGGGAATAAGGATTGGGCTAATTGCGAGGGTGGTGGGGAACAAACTCCGAGCTAATTGAGTGGGTGGAGGAAATCGTTGATGGAAGGAGCTGGGTGTCGACATGCGGAAGAGGAAGAAATGAGGAAGAGAACAAACATAAATTGACGGTCATCTATCAGGTTAGGGTTATATTGTTCATTATGTTGTGTTTAAGGTAATTGAACTTGACTCGACTCATTTGAAAAAACCCGACCTGACCGGCCTGATTTTGCTCCAATTGACATGAACCTTGAATCGTACAAAATCGTAAAAAAATTGTAGATTTGAAGGATTTTGCAGTTTAAATTGGGATTTTGTGAGATTTTAAGGTTCGAAGATTTTTTAGTAAAATCAGGATCGAAACCTATAGGTAAGATCATAAAATCGTAAGATTTTAAGATTAAAATAAAGATTTTGACTACATTGGTTGTAGCAAAAAAGCGGTGTTGTATGCTTTTGGTAGAGGAATAGATGGGTGGGAGTGTTTGCATAAAGGACACGTGGCAGCGGAAATGAGATATGATAAGATGGATTCTATTACGTGGTTAGACATATCCCTCAGCTGTGGCTAAGTGGGATGTTTCATCACCTAGTTAGCTCCCCCACACAAGCTGCAAGACGAGCTGAGCGATTGGCTCTTATATCAATGCCTATGCCCATACTTGGCTAACTTTGTTGGGCCGACTTGGAAGCATTTAATGGGCCTCATATGTTTGGGTTTGAATGTTTGTTTGTTTATAGGCACAGCGGTGCGTACCACTTCTGGATCGACTTGAGGAGGTTTATTTAGGCTTTTATAGTGCGATTAGTGAAAGCTTTTAACCTTTTAGTTCTTTATGTCACTTTATTCTTAGCGACTAACTGTGCTGCCTATTTAGTGGCATAAATGATTATTTCATCGATAGTTCAACATTCGCTTGACTACCGAATTTACTTTTTAATGAGTTGTAATCTCTTACCTATTACTATCGCGACTATGATAAAAAGGGGACACTGAATGTTAATTAAGGCGTTCGTTCAATACAGCTTGACTCCTAAACAACCGCAACACTGAGATTTTGGGAACACTAATGTCATCGAAATGAATGTACATAATTTCCAATCACTTCCGTAGCTTTGTTATTCAGTTTTACTGCTTATTACATGTAGATACTAAAAGTAATAAAAATGTTCAAAATAATTGTAATCTAGTAGCACGACCGAGGAAAACATTGTCATTCATATGAAAGAAGAAGACAAAAAAACATTATTAATGAATAAAGCATAGATTTGAATGAGATGAGCTTGGAGTTCTTGGAGATGATTGTATTCCATTATGAATCTAGTGTCTTTGCGACTGCAAGTACTCCATTGGCAGCGTCGGCCATGGCATCATTGGCATCCATAACCCACAACTTAGCATTCCCACTTGCAGCATTCAATGCCTCATCGCAGAAACCAAAGTTGGAGACGACGGCACTAAGCATGGCGGTCAGTTTCTTAACTGTCTCCTTGGGGCACTTCTTCGCCTTATCACCACCATTATCATCCTTGACGCATTCCGCACAAGCCGTCGAGGCTGCATCCAAGCTCTTGTTTGCTTTGTCATAATTCTCAAGGCAAACGTCGAGGCTCTTCTTGGTTTCGGAGGACACAGAAGGGTCCTTGGACCCTTCCTGGACGGCAATGTAGGAGCCTTCGCTAAGAAGGGCCTTGAGGATCTTGATGTCCGAGAGGATGACGGAGGCAGGGTCTGCCTCTGGCGTGTTCCCGAGGAATTGGAGGCATTGGGTGGGGTCGTCAGTCTTGGCACAGAGGTCCTGAATTGTTTGGTTGTTATTCACGGATTCTGCTGTTGCGTCAGGGTCATAGTTTGGGGTGATGAAGACCACAACGGATGCGAATGTGAAGGAATCGTCCCCATTTTGAAACCAGCCTGGCGCCGATGGGGAATCTGACGGGGATTCTGATGGTGATTCGGTAGCAAAGATGGTTGACAACAACAAGGCGATTGTTCCTACAAAAAGTACTTGCTTGGTGTTCATGATTGTTGATGTGTTTTGCTGCCAATATTTTCTCAACACAAAAAGGAAGATGATGTGTGGGTTAAAGTCTAGTGTTTGCTATAATATAGTGGTGTTTTGGAGGATATGAAAAACGTGGCATTTGATTGTTACTTAACATACATCTCTTTTGACTTATTGTGCATTCTCCGTTTTATTTGTTCTCGAAATTTTCGGTTGATTAATTTTGACCCTTTCTCGTTGATGTGTCCGGGTCTTCAGGTTCTTATGATTTGGAAGATGTAGTATGTCAATACTTAAATTAGTTATTGTAAAGTTTCATTTGGTAACTTAATTTTGTTTACAGACTGATTTAGGTCTATACAATCGGACATGTAATTTGAATATAATAATCACTGATTTTATATGATAAAAGAAGAAAATATTTTTGCATATATACTTTCATCGAGATTGATACGCCCCTTGGGGGTGTATGTTATCAAAGTCACGCAGCAAACAATCATTCTGGAGATTGATTGAAATCGAATCAAGAACAACGCGTTCTTAATACGACAATTGGATAAAACGGAAACGAAAGGGAATTCTTACACCTAGAAGAATGCACAATCGTTATGGTGAAGCTTTCGATATAATTGAGTGTGATTGCTCGATCAATAAGCAGGTCAGCAAGTTTTGATCGCAACCAAAACCCAAGAACAAGTTCGCAAACTTGAACAAACGAAACGGTTTCTTTTTCGATTAATCAACGTCTCTCTCCCTTTTACAACGTAAATAGAAAGGTATTTAAAGGCAAATAAAACCTAATACAATCCTAATAGAACAAGGAACAATTCAATTAAAATTATACTCTAAAAAGGTTACAAATTTCGGACTCAAACTTCCTTTCTTGAAGCACAAGTAAGCTGCCAGCAAACAGTCCAAAAACAGCTGTTGTACTAACTTCGTGACATTCGTTCGAGGCCTTCCGGAACTCCAATCCTTCATCTAATTCCTTCCCTTTGTATACAAACATACATAGTTTCATGTTGTGGAAGCCTTTGGACTTGAATCCCATCCATGCTCCTCGAATTAAGCTCCAAAGTAGGCTTCATGAACACTGATTTATACTAAGACAGATTCTGGCAGTTTTCCTGTTTTCAGATAGCAACTTTGAGGCCTTGGAAAACAATCTTAATGACTTCGTCTGGATCCAAAAACCATGCCATCTTGTAGAATGACACTTTATCTTCAAAACAAGCCCTTAATAATGAATTTTCATCAAGCCAATTGTGAGAACCATGCCTCCAAAGTAGGCATCTCGAAACTTTTCCAATACTTAACCAAATTCTGTCATTCTTCTTCCCTACTTTGATAGCTTTTTTGTCAAATAATAAAAACGTGTATAGTTTGCCATTTGGGATCATATCAGGCAGTTAACCCTAATAATTGACTGTTAAATGTCTAAAATGGCAATTAAAAAATTAATTTAATTCTTTTAATATTTCCACATCATTAAAATAATAAATAAAATTTATTATCAAATAAAATTTATTATCAAATTTCCAGCCACCAGAGAACTTTCCGGAGGGGTAAGCAACATGTTCATTTCATCATTTTTTATGTGTCAATAAATTTGTAGGCCCAGGCAAGATAAACCTCATTATACATTTTGATTCTTCATGTAAATAAAATAGTTTGAAGAATGAACAAACTATATACTCACTCTGTAGGTTGAATGAATTTTGGCTTTATCATTTACAATAACTGGTACATTTATAATATCGTGATATTTGAAATCTTTTCTGTATTATTTAGAAGTATATCCATTATTTGTCCCATTAGTGGAAATAGGTTGAAATATAAGATTTCATTTGGTATTCAAAGTTGAGTACGGAGTGCATTGATTGTGTATCTTTTAACTTGGTGGTAGGAATGAGGATACACTTATTTATACAAATGCTTATAGCTGTGGATTTAAAAAAAATCATTTATGTTAAAATATCTACATATAGTATTAGGCAATCATACCCATTGCCACCAATTGCATCACTCATGATCCAAATGGCCATATATATTTTCAATACTCATAAGTCATGACTATTTTTCTGAAATCATGAATCTTTTTTATAAAATTATATTTTCACAACATGTAATTATATGTTTGTACAATAAAGTATTTTCTTTAATTAAAAATTGAAATAAATACTTAAAAAAATTTAAGATTTGGTCATTATAATAGCCTTCAACCATTCTCATTATGCCAATGTAAGCTATTATTAACCATAAATTTATTTGAAGATATATATTTGTTACTAATAGATTAGTATTTGATAATTTATATCTTTTAATTATTACATTTAGATTGATTTTTTACTATATAGTTAGAACAAAGTAAGTGGTAAATTTTAGCTTTCCATATTACCAATTGGTCAATCCCTTGAAGTTTGTGATGACTATTAAGCCTGATGATTAGTTTGGTGTGATTACCCATTTTCATCGAGAATTGTGGGATCCCAATGAGTTTGTGAGTTTCATTATATCTCCAACTTTGCCGACGACCATTTTTAGTAAGAAGGAGTCGAGATTGGAGTGGTTGCAGGTCAATATGGAGGTTATTTGAAAGTTGTTTTTAGGGGTCTACACCAATATCGTTTACTCTATTTCCCATAACGGAATGAAAACTTCTGAATTATGCCCTAAAAATATGTTCTCATAAGCAAAAAAAAATGCAGTAATGCTTGACAGATTAATCAACTCATCGCTTGGTGGGATCATTGAATTGGTAGTGCTCCCGTTAATGCAACGACATGATAAAAATTTGTCTTTGAAAGTATCAATAAAACAAATAGATGAGCTATTATTAGTGTGAGTATTTCATTTAGTTCAAGTACAATATTTTATATGCCTGGTGTTTTATTCCTTAAATGTTTGAACTTTATTTGAGGCTAGATTTGATAAATGCGTTAATGGTAATTGCTTAGGTTTTTTTATGAACTTATATATCTATTGAAATTTAAATTATTGTCGTTTGTGAGAGACCTCTAATGACGTTACATAAAAACTTGGATATTGATTGATTGGTTAAAGTGCTTGCTAATTTGGGACATGGAATTGGCTGAACACATTGAGTTAGTTGTGGTACCAAGTAAGCAGGGTAGTGGTTGTGTTGTTCTTAGTTGTCACACGAGTTCATAAAAATGAAGGTAAGTTCAGTATATGTGGCAATAGAATAGTTAAATGAGATAGTGGTTTACATATAAATATAAGTGGGGAGCTAGGAATGGATTTAGAGGATGTATTAGGTGAAATTTGAGTTCGTTTATCTATGTGATGAGAGTTAGCATTGACAAATTTTTATTTGTACCAATGTTTCATATATTCATTAATTGAAGCTTTTCGAAAGTGTTAACCATCATATTTTCCATCAAAGGACAATAATTTTCTTTTATAGTGAAGATTGACTATGTATGTATCATAGGAAGCAACTCTCATGTTGTCATTTATGGACTTTTTTTATATAGGCAATACTTTGTTTGTAATCATATATGCAGTGGCAGAGCTATGTGGAGAGGTGGGGGGGGGGGGGGTGCTTGCACCCCCTTGCGCTTGGAAAAAAATTCAGCAATTAGGGATTTGTGTGGGTTCAAACTAGTGATTATTTGATTATAGGGAGACTTTCTTGCCATCTCAAGTAAATTTGCTATGCACCTTTTTTCATTATTATTTACATTAAAGAACTGTCCTGAAACCTCCTTTTACGTCCCACAATCTCTAGGACCCTAGCATTTTATTTCTTATTCTTTGCCACTATCACTGATATCCACAGCAGAGAGGACGAGTCGACATCCTCTACCTCGTCCAAGCCCCTTAGTCTCCAATTTTGGCCAATTGTTCGCCGGATTTCCACTATCGCACTCGTCCAAGGCACGTCGTCTCCAATCCGGCCAATTACAAGTGTCTAGATATCGTTTTCGTCAATGAAATATATCAAACATTATTTTCAAAACCAGATGAATGATTAGTGGTTGAATGACACATTGATGACATATATTGAACAAGGTTTGTGTGCTAGTATGGACGAAAAATGAGTTCTAGAATGCTTTAAAATATGAAATATCTTCGCAGTTCGGTGTAAATTGTGTACGTCAATGACACACTAAAACACAACACCTAACAATGGCCAAGTGTAACCAATGAATTTTGCTGAAAATCGAGTTTTAACCAGAAATTTCCGATCACACGGCCAGGTCACATGGCCATGTGGGTTTTTAGGCGTGCCCGTGTGGCTTGCTCGGTCTCTGTTTAATGCTTCGTTTCTCCCTCGTCCAGACTCCGAATCACTCTCCGTTTGATCCCAGACGCTCATAGTCTCGTCCTCTTTCTTTTCATGACAAAATTCCATTATTATTTGTCCATAATATGAGGTAGAAGTCCATTATTCCTCAGGTCATGCTCGTGTTTCTTCTCCCGAATTGCCAAATGATCTCTGATTGACTTGAAACTTGCGTCTATGCTTCAATTTACATGCTAGGACCTGAAATGTGACAAAGGAACACAACCTAGCGTAAAATAGTCCAAGAAAGCAGAAACTCAAGCCAAAATGATCAAGAAACGAGGGTGCAAACATGTGCAAATCCGATGTTATCAAATTCTCCCACACTTAACCGTTTGCTTGTCCCCAAGCAAACCTAACTCAAACCAATGCAGCCCTCCAGACCTCTATAGCACAAACAACCCCGATCGTCGGTAGAGGATTTCCTAGATCATATAGCAGCTTACGAGGTCAACTGGTCTTCTAAGATGTCCCCTATCTCTCTCAATGGGAGTACTAGACTCAAACCAGGATCATGAGAAGAAGTGGAAGTAAGACAGCAGTTCATGGATAAAGGGACTCACACCATTCACAACCAAGGACTCGTTGTACCGGGGTGCTCTTTCACTTCATTTCACCGTTGGAACCCCTTTTTTGCACTTTCATTTACATTTATTTTTCCCTTTTTTCTTCATTCACTTGGCGGGGGTTCCAATTGCAGTCTTTTGCACGGTCGACCCTTATAGTCAAGCAAGAGCAATTTTTGTACATCTGGCGCTCGCCAAAGTACTTCTTTTAACTCCTTTTCCTCAACTCGTGTGGAGGGTCAATGAAATTAAGGGGGGTCGGAAGCTTTATCCGTGCCTTTAAAAACACATCCTCAAGTAGGCAAACCATTCAACGGGTGGAAGTTTTACTTGTACTAGAGACAGCTTAGCTTCACCTTGTAGGAGTACCCCACTAAGGATCACTAAAATCTCTTCCAAAACCCGATTTTGTGCAATGAACGGTGCCACACACGTTGGGCTTACCCCATGTTTAAGATTTAATGATTTTGACATGGAGGACCAACTGCTTCCCATTTTCCATATGAGCACCCTGTTCGATACACGAGTCCATAACACAATCCAAACAGAGTCACCATTACCACATGAATTCAACGGTCTTAGCTCCACTAATTCACAAAATCAACTAGCACAACAGAGAGCTAGATAGGAAAAATATTATACTTCAACATCCTCCATAGTGCTACACTACCTCCCTAGGTTGCACATTACTATAGAGACTGTCGATTCAAAGCATACTGAGCAGGCAATTTGCAACACGTACTTGGAGCCCTCAAATTTAAAAATTTGGACAGTGGACTAGGCTCCAAGCACACAAACAGCCAAACATTCACCCTCATACATAATCGAACACCCCCCCCCCCCCACACACACACACTTAAGCACGACATTGTCCTCAATGGAGGAAAGATAAAAAGGGTAGAACGAAGTTACCAGATCAAGGGTGAATGATGATGGACGGGTCAGGTGGTGCATTCCAGGAAGAGAGAGTAATCAGAACACAAACACCACACAAAATCTCACAAAGGTTGAGTTATTGACTCTAAAATCAAATAACACAACTGACTCAACCGAGGAGAAATAGAAATGCAAACCGACTGGTTGGGTTGCCTCCCAACAAGCGCTTCTTTCACGTCGTGAGCCGGACGATGGCTCCTAAGTTTCGGTCCATGCTAGAACCTCCTTGAAGTTGAGGTTCTCGTCAATGAGGTGGAGTCGCAAGTCACGAGCATGTGGTATGACTGGTGATGGAAGCTCGTGGACTTGATGCAGATGAAGCCTCCATCCTCGAGACCTCTTCTTCTCTTCTCTCGTCTCATTGCCCAAAACCATATATGACAACATCGATTGACCACCATCGCGTCCACCAAGAGGGACCGATGTCGATGTGGCCTTGGTCTGGCAAAGAGACACCGCAGATGGGTCCTTGTTAAGCAGTTCCTCGAAGTTTGGTGGGGATATTACTTGTATTATAGGGCCGGTGCAAGCCTCTTCCCCCTCAACTTCATCCTCAGCCTGGACACCACTCGCTTCTTCAACCCCCTTCCTTCTTCAAAATGTGGTCTCTCTCCTCGGAAAAGATCAAGAACTACCTCTTCTTTGCTTTCTTCCTCATCCTCCACAACTTCTTTCCTCACCCTTTCTCTCTCTTCTTCTTCCATAACTGATTGGAGAGCAAGTCGACATGCAAGGTTCTCAAAAAGTTCAGCTTGCATCTCCTCGCTCGGGCCCAGCATGTCAGAGTGGAAATGGGGAAAGTTGTGATCTACCACCAGAGGATACACTTGATCATGATTATCATGGGAGATTTCCTTGACAACTTCTGTATGCTCCTCAACATCCTCACGATTGCCTTCTTCTTCCTCCACCTCTACTTGTATGGCAGCATAAAGATTGTCTTGAGAAAACTGTGAACATGCTTTCTCAATGACCTCTATGTGCTTCTTTATGCTCCGAAGGGTATCCTCTGTTTCATGGGGAAAGGAGAAGTCGGTTTGGGCAATGGCCTGGATATGAGGATCCATCTCAGGAAAGGATCTCTCAGGTACTCGAGCAATCTGCTCCACGAGAAGCCTCAAGTGATAGTTTGGATCTGGCTGTGGAGTGTAGCATGGCTCTACCGGATCGCCCGTGAAGGCTGTGGCGAACTCAAGATCTGATGGCCCTTCTTGTTGTGGGAGGAATTCTTCTTGATAAGGAGATTGTTCTTGAAATACCCAGGGGTCTGATTGTTCTTCGTAGAAGGGGGTTGGTACTGAAACCCGACTCCATAGTCTTCTCCTTCTTGGTTACTCCAGGGAGTCTCGGGGTAATAACACTCGGATGGTGGTGGATACCCCCAATGAATGGAGAAGCCATGAGGGTCCATGATTCAGATCTGCACCAACAAAAACAAAAACACCCAAGTGAAAAGCAAGGGCGGAAAACAAAAGAAAAATGCTAAAGTAACAAACTTCTGCCTTTCCTAATAATCTAGAAAGTCCCCGGCAACGGCGCCAAAAACTTGACACGCTAAAACACAACACCTAACAATGGCCAGGTGTAACCAATGAAAGGGACTGCAGTATAGTGGCACAAGTAATAAATATCGAATCCACGGGTCTCTAGAGTTACTATTACTCAGCTTTAGTTCATTATCTAGCATACTAGATTAAGGATTGATTTATAAACTACTCTACTAATTACAAGTTGGGAACTCACTTAGGTATGATTCCCCCTAGCTCCTCAATTAGGTCCAAGTTGCAATTACCTTTGGTTGATCTACTGTTGATTAAACTGCGGAAGATCCTAAATTAGCTTGGAATCTCTTAAGCTGACCAAGCCCTCTCAGACAGAATACCCGGCAGGCGACTAGCCTTCACCGGGATAGACTGCTAAGGCGATTCACACAGATATCCACTACTGGAATGAATTCAAGTACAAAGCAGTGAATTGGTTGACTCTCGCACAACCAATTCACCACTATCAATCAAGGAAGCTCTCTTAACCTAATCAGATTCTATCTATCATAGGTTAAAGCAGAAATCAAGAGAATTTGATCAAGATTCAATTGAGTCAATAAATCATGCCTCAATCGATTATAATCAAACAATATAGCATCCAAAACTTCATACAAGAAAGATCCTAACACATGGAACTAGGGTTCCTCATACCTAAGTGAAGGGAAGTTACTCCATAGAGAAGAGAGAGACTGCATAAATATGATCTAGATCTTCAATCTCCATCTCCAAGCTTGATTCCCGAGCTCCAATGGCGAAGAAATCCTCCAAAATAGCTCCAAGAATGTTCCCAAGTCGCTATCTCTCTCGAGGGTTCGTCCCTTGAGTGTTTGGGAACCAAAAACCCAGATCTCTCCTTTCCTTTTGCTGAAAATCGGATTTTAACCAGAAATTCCCGATCACACGGCCAGGCCACACGGCCGTGTTACTTCCCCAGCTGCCCGTGTGACTTTTTGCAAACCGCGGCGTTTTTATAAGTGGCTCAGCCTTCCTACGCGGCCACGACCTACACGGCCGTGTGGAGTTCCAGGATGCCCGTGTGGGATTTACCGAGCCTTCACACGGCCACAAGGATAAAATGTCCAATCTTTCATTAAAAGAAGAGAGTTATGCGTAAACAAAGAAGACAGACACCACTAAAAACTACCCACTGGGATGATGTATGATGGGAACTCAGATAAATTTGTGCCAAATTTGGTCTCTATGGATCTACTTGGTGGCCCACTCACTAGGACAAGGCTTAAACGACTTGCTTCTATGGCAACTGGTAGTAGAATTGATTGTCTGTCCTCACAGAGGACAAAAATTACCAACTACTATTTCTGGGGTGAAAAATGCTATAATAAATCCAATTGAGATTGCATAGCAGCATTATTTCTTTCACATGAGAATGCCTAGAATCCAACAGGACGCGGAAGGAAATGTGAAGATAACAATCCATATGCATTGTTATGTACTAAAAGGCTATAAGCACAGTTCAAAATTTCTAACCTGTGACTGATAGTTCCAAATACACACAGTTCCTGAATACAAACTGACTAGGATCCTGCAATAACAATTTAGTACAGTCACAGTTCAATACCACCACGTGCAGTTTATTTTTCTCCATGAGATCCTAACAAAGAAGAAGTCTACTGAAAAGAAAACGAACAAAATCAACAAGTTACCATGGCTCTGAAGGATGCAGATCTACAGATTTCACTCTCTCCGATCTTTGAGCAAGTTTCCTCTACCAACAATCACAAATACAGTCAGCACCAACAATGAGAAAACCAAGTTCAGAGATCGAATCACCAAATGAAAGAGAACACAGAAAATGTCATATAGTACCTTGATTTCGAGTCTGAGAGGCTGTCAAAAGGAAACAGAATCAAATTAGGACTAGCATTAGCTTCAAATAAAAAAAAACTATAACAAATAATGATCCAGTTCAGCAAATCAAACAACCAAAACGAAACGGCTCTCATTTGCTTTCTCAGCATTCAAACAAGAGCAAAATTCACTCCAACTCGCACATTCAAGCCACTTGACTGACCACCCCACATAGAACCCCCGGTTCAACTCTTCTCCTCATCAGATCTCTTCGCCATTCCCGACCTTCCACGTCTCGTTTCGATTCCAAAATAAAAGCAGCAGAAGAAAAGCTAAACAAGAATACTAATGGAAGCGCCGCGGCAGGAACACCGGGAATTCCCCAGAAACCCAGCGCGCGGATTCCGAGCAACCAAACGAGCATTCAATTTTAAAAGTAGAGGATAAGAAGCTCATTGAACAGACGTAATAACGCGTATAAGCGTAAAATCGAAGGAGATTTCTGACAGATCTAAGCTACACTCCGAATCTTCCGACGGCGAGCAATGCAAATTTTCCTAACAAAGCATTTCGGTGGACGAGAATTGAGATGGATATGGATAAGCAGGCGCTCACCATTGTTACAGATCGGAAGAGCTAGAGAGATCCAGCTATCGAGCTGTTTGTTGCTGGATTGAGAGGCAATGGAGAAATCAGAGGGGAAGAAGAGGGACTTCGGGTTTTTGTAAGAGACCAGGGCACCAGGCCAAGTGATGCGTGTTAAAATGCCAAGAGAGAAAACAAAGCGCAAAGGAAGGCGTTTTTTCGTAAATAAAGAGCCAAATTACAATACTGCCACTACTCGGCTGGGATTCAGCTGCGCGTCGGTGTGAAGTGTGGTGCAACGTTGTCAACCTAGTTTATTAAGTGAAATAGTTCAACCGGTGGTATAATTGTTTGTGTTTATGTTGATTTTTTTGGGGTAGGAAGATAAATACCAATGGCGTCTTAATTCGTATTAATTAAACGTTGTATCGGATGGGTTGCTAACCCCCTATTACGTTAGCACCATGCTAACCCGCTGGTACGACTGCGTTTTGAGGATTAGGCTGATTAAGGGAGTTTTCCCGCCAGGGACATTTTTGACAATTGGTTTATTTGATGATGACAGGCCAGGAAATCAGGCGGATACGGATTTGGGTTTTATGGTGGGATCCCAACAGTTCAAACTTCAGCAGAAACACTACCATATGTACACATCAAATCCCGCAAACCGAACCGCTACTACAACACTCTACTCAATTGGAAAGCCTACACACGCAAAACCCCTACACAAATGTTAGCATGACAATCTAAAAGCACTGACACGCATTTGTAATAACCACTACTACCAAAATATTACACCTCCATTTTGAGAACACTACATAGTCACAGTTCAAACTTCAGCAGAAACAGTACCATAGGTGCACATCAAACCACTACAAACAATACAAATTAACAACACCAGCGCTCAATAAAAACACTACACACACTTCCATACAAAAACACTACAAACACCACTACGTTATCATACCGTCACTGATCTCCTCTCTCGCTTCTCCCGCTTCCACCGGGACGATGGACAAGTTGCGCACCGGTTTCGCCCCGCCCATTTACGCTGCTCTGGTCATCACAGGAACTTCCTCGGATTCAGCCGCCATAACCAAAGACCTTTCCACCGCCGTTGCCGACGACACCTCCGGCGGTCTTTGTTTTTGGCCTTCGATTTTTCCGTCGCCGTTGCAATCCACGAATCGGAGAAAAATGGAGACACTACACCCTCAACCCGTATTCAAAAAATAAAAACCTCTTAACCGTCCCAAATCCCTAAAAATCCGCCAATATAAAATTAACATATTTAATTTCAAAATGGAAATTAATATTGAATGTTGATTAACAATAATTTACCCTTAATGTTTTCTTAAATAGATTTGCACGGTTTAGATTGGGGTTAGAACACATATAACGTACAGGGGGATACCCATTACATAAAAAGATAGCCAGTGGCTAAGCCCAAATAAAAAACATCAACTGAATGGGCTCCAAAATGAAGGCCATGGCCTTTCCTAGCTAAAAAGTCAGCTGCGTAATTGCTTTCTCTATAGCTACGAGTGATTTGAACCTCTCAACTCAAAGCCAGATGCTAATTGCAGTGGTGGAGTCAAGGCTGAGGATCACTTTTCCAAACCCCAAGCTCCACGCCATTGACAGCCTAAGCTCAGCTGCTTTCAATTCAGCTCTGGTGGTATAGCAGTTTCCGAAATTGGCGGAGAAAGCTCCATGGCACCTTCCAAGATGGTCACGAACCAGACCCCCTCCAGCTGCCATGTTCTTCTCTGTAATCACTGAACCATAAGTGTTGATGGTCACCCACCTTCCCTGGGGGGGGGGGGGGAACCATGCAATTTGGAGGTTTTCCTTAGTTCTGCAGGCCCTTGGCTTCAGCTTCAGGTCATTAGTTTGAGGCAAGGTCTTCAATCCGCGGGTCGACCCGAGGTTGACCCACTTTGACCCTGACCCGATGAGAAAAACGGGTCACATGCACCCGCCGGGTCGACCGCTACAAGGTACCATGTTGGAGGTCAAATTGTGTCATTTTTTTCTTTGGTTTGCGAAATGCGCCTATTTTCTGATTTTCTTGTTCGCCTAACTCAATATTTGGAATCCTTAATTGAACATTTGAATATTGATGTTATATAAGTGTGTGTGAATTTTCACTAGATGTTGGATCTAAGTACAACATCTTACTTTGGTGTAATGTTATATGTTATTTAGATGAGATTTGATATAATTTATCAGAATAAGTATAATATAATGACTCTTTCCATATTTCCGGGCTAAAACGGGTAACCCGTTAACCCTTGACCCACTAGCTCGATCGGGTTCGGGTCAACCCACAGGTTGACAACCTTGGTTTGAGGTCTCTGCAGAACACTCAAAAAAGCAAAGATTCTATTAAAAAGACTCTGCTCGCAGTACATCTTGTCGTCCATAGCTTCTTCATTTATTTGTTCCAGATGTGCCAAAGAATGATTTCGAAGGCGGCACCCTTCTCATCATTCTCCAGATTCTGTAAAAGTCATTTTATAAAAAGGATAGTTCTATTCTTGACGGAGATCGAGTGTATGAAATGTTACATCCCACTCTATCCAATCCTAATTTGAATACGATTTACCTCGGCACAATTAGTTTCCCCACCCAATTCTGTACCCCCATTCCCTTGACACATCATACTTGTGAGCTCAATTAATAGAGACAGCTAGCTAGAGATAACAGTGTCGGTGCATGGATGGCCTTAAATTATACATCCATCTCATTTCTCGTTTTACTATGAATCCCTCCATCCGACATCCACTTTCTCATTTCTTCCCTTCATTACTGATTCCCAACAACACCAGAACCTTGCATCCATTATCATCAACTTCTTCCCTCCTTCCAATCGTTCGTTCCCTTCAGCAAAGCCTTCCGCCATCATCGTCATCATTAAAGAAGCCGCTCCATCTATCTCCGAGAGTCATTATTGCCACCGCCAGCAACAGGAGGAGGAGGCTAACGAAAGCTCTAGCACTCGTCCCATGCGTCATCTTCCCCGCCGCATCGCCGGCCACATCACCGATCATTGCCATTTCCGGAGAAACGCCACACTACTAACTAGTGTCGATTCCATTCATGTCTTCCACTCCCTGTAGAGACTAGTAAGTAAGAACGACAAAACCCCAACACTCTTCAAGCTTCAAAGCTCTATAGGTACTAACCATAGAGCTTTGTCTTCGTCGTTGCTTTGACGACAAAAGGTACGTGGGATTGAATGACAATTTAAGCAAGGAAGTGAAGGTCCCACTGACGGGAATCTAGGTCTAGGCACGCACACGAGGTAAGGAAGCCCGATCACTTACATTAAAATCGAGAATCATATGGGTTATAAGAGTTGTGAAATTCTGTGATTTAGTGACCAAACTTACAGTCTTTTAGTGACGGAATTTTGGTTGTCTCTAAAAACTACTGGTTTATTGTCCAGATCAGTCCCCCATGTATTCAGTATATACAGTTTAGTCCCTCAGAGTTTTAAGTTTTTGATAATTTGGCCCAAAAATCGTATTTTTCATGGTTATGTTAATTTCCGACACTTTTCCATGGGTATTTTCATAATATGATAATTTTATAAATTCTAGAATATTTGTATGATGCACGTGTATAAATTTTAGAATTTTTGGATTTGTATTTGTATTTATAAAAATTGAACGAATGTCGTTTTTAATTAATTAAAATACTGTACAAAGTCGTTTTGGTGATTTGATAATTTTCCATGAAACTAGGGTTATTTATTGATGTTATAAAATTACGAATCAGAATTATTAGTGTTCGTGACTTGGTTTAAAAATTATATATGATTAATTTTAATAGGAAAAAGAGGTTATTTAAAAGAGGGGCTTATGTTTATTAATTGGGATTAATGATTTGAGTTAACCAAGTTCATAATGTGGAGTCTTAAGTGGAAAATATATTTTGAGAAATTTATGAGAATTATTTTAAGAAATATTGAATTGCTTGAGATGATTTAATTCTTGATTAAAGAGGTTGAAAAGTTTAGTTTTGAGGAAATGATTTAAAAGAGATTGAGGGCCATTTTTTAAAGGATTTTGGGACTTAGTAATCAATGAGGGAAATTTTCCCCATACGTTAAAGGGACTAAATCTGAGGATTACCAACTAAGGGAAGATGATTTCAGTTTATAGTATTGAGGAAGCGATCGGATTAAGGATTTCACGTCAAGGGAACTAAGAATTGTCATTTGAGAGGTGAGTGGTTTAAGGGGGTAAATTCTACGCCTTACGTGTTTTCAAGTAATTGCCTTACGAGTTTTTAAAGTATGTGTGTTTACGTGAATTGTATGCCAGTGATTGAATTATGTCGTGATTGATAAAGCATGATCTATTTGAGATATTATCCGAGATGATTATTTGAGCTTTCTGTATTTACTTGAAGCTTTTATATTTATGTTTATTTAATGAAGGTTGTTTGATCTTTAAGGATCAATATTTAAGAGGTATTTCACTCCTAATTAAATTAGGGTGAAAAGATTTAAAGATAGTTCACTAACGACAGTCCCCCACCCCAGTGAAAGTTTAAAGGAAGAGCAAGTTTGCTCTTAAGGAACATGTGGATGAATCACTTAGACATCACATGAAGTTTAAAGGAAGAGTATGATATACTCTTACCCTCTGTTTCCGAAGGAAGGGAGGAAAATGGAGGGGAGGGGAAGGGAATTAGGAGGGGAGGGATGATTAGGAGGTTAAGGAAATTGGAAAGAAAATGATGTTTTATGAAGGAAAGTGGGAAGGAAAATGTGTATTGGAAATTGTAATGGATATATTATTTTATTGGTATGTAAGAATTAAATAATTTGATTATATTTTTATATTATTTTGATGGGTTGTGAATTGTGAAGATGGTGGAGGAGAGAGATGATGCAGGAGAGAGATAACACAAAAAAAAAAAGGGCCAACTTTTTCTTCTTCTCTCTTCTTTCCCTCCAATTTGGAGGGATTGGTGAAACAGTGTCCGGCCCCTCTCTTTTCCCTCACCTAGATACTGTTTAACGTTTGGGAAACGGGGGAAAGTTTATTGGAACCCGCACTCTCCCCCTTTCCCTTTCCTTTCCGTCCTTTTCCCTTGCAAAAGAACAAAGTGTTAAGGTTTATGGGGTTGAATAGATTACTCCCATAAAAAGGTTTAAGTAAAGGCCTA